GTGGGGGGAGGGGGGGCTCTTTGAGTGGGGGTGGATGCACTTCAACCTCAGCTAACGCTGATCATGTCGATAAGTTGCTAGAGTGTACTTTTCACAATCCAATAGGTTCTTAATTTCTGTTGACCGAAAGGATCAGCTGATGAATCTAGCCTACAGCTGATGGAACTATTTTTCTGGCAAACCTAATCTAATGAAAGACTTTTTATAGGGTAATGCATTCCCAGCATATCAAGTCAACTTTTCCACAAGGTTTCGTTCTGCATCAAGGATAGAATCTGATCCTACAGTGACTTGTTTTCGTGGTCACTCATCTGAACATAACCTTTTAGTAGTTTTCCCTGCAAGCTTCCCATCACTTTGAACCTTTTACTCAAGGGATTTTAACATTTACATGTATAGGGAACAGCTGATGAAGTTGTTGATTGCTCCCATGGAAAACAGCTGTGGGAGCTATGCAAGGAAAAATATGAACCTTTGTGGATAAATGGAGGTGGGCATTGCAATCTTGAACTTTACCCAGAGTACATCAAACATCTAAAGAAATTTGTTATTGGTCTTGGCAAACCAAAGCCTGCCGCTAATGGCTCCCAAAAAGCATCAACAGAGTCTGACAACCAGAGTAAACCTGCCGAAACTGTCGCCACAGACACATTTGACCTGAAAACTGATCCTCCTGAAATTTCAAGGAACAGTTTGGACAGTCGACTTGAAAAGACTAAGAAGTCAAACAAACCCGAGAAGTCTCGGATGAGCACAGATCGTGTTGACAGGTTCAGGAGAAGAAAGGGATTAGTGTGGTAATTCCTTAAATACACAGGGAAAATACCTTTAATTAATCATCAGTAACCCGCCCAAGAAGGTAACGTGTGCCTGTTTATGCAACAAGGGATGAGCCTCTAACTGCAGTCACTGTGAGTGTAATTGTAGCTGTAAATGGTTGAGTTATCTGTGTCATCAAGAGATGAAGTGGTGACGGAAAAATAAGGTAAGTAATGCATCCCTTTTTCCCATGTAAAATCAAATGTGACATTTTGACATGAAAAGCTTGTAGTTTTATTCTCTTATGAGCTTCCATACTTGTATATTTGCAAAAGGCTATGCAAGATGCGCAACTGTAAGTGGCATAAACTCCTGGATGCCTCATCACCAGTGAGTAACTGTTGGCTATGGAAACTCGTTCCATAATTTCATCACAGTCTCCTCTGAACTCTCTCAAATATTAGCTGTGACTTTTTAACTACTGTCGCTGGAATTATCTCAAAATTAGCTGCGTCATATTTTTCTTGCTTTTCTCCTAAAGCTGTATTGTATTGAGGTCGGAATTTGCTTCTGGTCCTGACTATCCTACCAATGCCACTTTTCTGTCATCTCCGAGGACTCTCCTATGGTATTAACATGATAATTAAAAGGCTTATGATATAAAAGAATAAGAAAATATATTCCATAGAAATACAGCTTGGAATATTTTTAGTGTGTCGCTGGACATCCTTTAAAAGTAGGTCATTGATTAAGTTTCCAACTATAAGCATTTTAGCTCCCTGCCCCTGGTAATTCTGTTTGCCTAAGGTTACCTTAAAAGTTGAAAAGGCACAGGTGTGAAAGTAGTTCATTCTATTCCACCTCGATCTTCATTACTGCCGATAGTCTAATGAATCACAATCATAGAAGGAGAGCCGGTGGAGCTGGCCATGGTTCAATGCGCGTGGAAAATTTGTTTAGAAGTTTGGACAAGCTAATCTTATCTCTTTTGGTGGCCACCTAAATTTTTGAATGAGTCATATTGAGTAAGAAAGCTGGAGAGAATATATTTGGTACTTATAATTTGTCGCATAATTTAATTTTCAAGAAAATGTTCCCTTCAGAAAAATCGTGTTATGGTTTTGGTTGTTTAAATTGTAAAGTTGTTATGTATATCATCAAATAGGAGAAAACAACTTACTCGCGGCCATTCTTGCCTATATCACCAATTACCATCGTCAGCCTCGATCGCAGCGTTTACTACGATTAAGAACGTACATCCAAGTGAATACAGAAAATGAGTGAGAAAATTATCTTTTATGCCGTGGAAAATAATGTTCTCGCCATAACAAACACGGTTTGACATCAAGTTCAGAAAAGTAAAACAAGTCAATTTTTCTGGGTGCCAACATTTAATGGTGCATGCATCGACTTAGGGTCACAGAGGAATCTTCCTAACAGTGCTCTTAATATGGAAAAAGTCGAGTGAAAGCAGCGTAGTCAAGGTGGAAGCAGAACATCCGCTGTCTTCATTTGGCGAGGGGGAATAGCAAGTTTTAAGACAGAAAAGAAGAAAAAAGACTTGAACAGAGCTTCCTCTAAAACGATGTGGTCAAATCTCCACTCAACTGTTATCCAGTTTATCATTCTAGGCCTTCTTCATATGCCCATATCGCTTTGTCAAGATGACGAGCGATTCAGAAGTTGTAGTGAGTAGAGCCGTCAATATGGGCCGGGCCGGGCTAGCCCAACCCAGCTTACGTGGGCTTTAGCAATTGACGGGCTGGGCTAGGTTAGCCTGCCGTTTTGATGGGCCTTATAATGGTCAGCCCACCCCAGCCCTATGCGGGCCCCCACGGGCCGGCCCATTATTTTAAAAAATATAATTTTATATTTTTTTCTTTAAGTTCTTACTTAAAAAAAGATAATTATTTAAAAGTTAAAAAATATCTTATTGAAAAAAATTAGCAAAACTTAATAACTTTTTACATTGTTCGAATATATCACAATAAACACTAAAAAAAGTAAAAGACAAGACTACATTTAATTCACTAAAAGTCAAAACTCAAAACAAACTATTCAAGAGAACGTTGATGATGCTTGTGAGATATCCAACACATCATCTTCATCAAACACATTTGAATCCGCTTGTGACAAGGTTGTCTTGACATCTTCACTTTCATCTACTTCTACGCTAAAATGGTGTCGTTTGTCAAATATTATTGCTATGTGTTGACCAAAGAATGACAAAATAAAGCACCCCATCTTTTCCTTTGAATTTTACATCTCATCTTCCTAATTGAATTTGGTGTTCTTCCAAACCTTTATATCTTCCTCTTCTCTGCCCCTTAGTTCCTCATCTCCTCCCCACCTCCTCTATCTCTTTTCTAGACGAGAAGATCGTAGAACTGGGTAAAGCTTTTCTACACTATTTCTAGTTGGTAACTCTCTTTCTAGATGCTAATTCCTTTAATCAGACAGAAATGCATCAACAACTCCATCCATACTTTTTGCTCTTTAGTACCTTAATCTTTGTCTTGATCAAAATACCGGGGTTGTTCTGTCAAGATGACGAGCGATTCAGAATGTGTAGTGAGCCAATTCTCTGTGGCGACATCGAAATAAAGTACCCTTTCTGGGGAGGTGGTAGACCAGAGTACTGTGGTCATCCAAGTTTCGAGATCAAGTGCGAGAGTAACATCCCGAATATTGCTATTAAATCAACAGCATACAAAGTGATAGCGATCGATACTCCTACTCGAATACTAACCTTGGCTAGAGATGATTTACTGAGTAATATTTGTTTGGACAACCCTGAGAACGCCTCCTTGGATTTTAACATTTTCAGCTATATTTCCACTGACCAGAATATTACTCTGCACTATATTGAAACGCTATGATATTGAAACGCTATGCGGACAGTGCGACAAGTCAGGTGGAAGATGTGGATCCAACCCAGATTCCGCAGCCTTTGCTTGCCATTGTGCCACGGGTACTCATGCTTTCAACTGCACCGACGCACAAAATCAAGATGGCGGTAATCTCTTTTCTCTACTATTCCCTCATGATTTTACTAGATTCGATGGATTACTTTGAGTGCTTAAGGTTAAATGGCATTGATACATAGGTAAGTTATCCGTATCAGTTTTCGTAGTTTGAAAACCATTAGTTTTCGATGGATTATGATTAAAACTAGGAAAATTGACTATGCTTCGATAGATTACTTTTCAATTTTCTACCACATGAACTAGAAAATTCACATACTTAAGATGAATCTGCTTTACTATATCCACAATCCTCCTCTAAACTAAATTCGGCATTTCATAAGCAGTCGATCTCCAAGGGCTTGTGAAGATATCCACAACTTGATCTTATGACTTCATAAACTCGTGCTCAATTTCTTTCTTGGATCTTTCTCTGCCTCATTCATGTACAGTCTTTGACGAGAGTCGCATTTTTCATCTTTCTTTCTTGAGGAACCCTTTGCTTGGAAAACAGATTCTTGTTTCGATTTAGTCTTCATGGACTTGCAAAGATCGAGCAGTTTATTAGTGGTCGTGGTGTCAGAGTCCTTCAACTCTTGTAACACGAGAAAGCAAAAGTTCAGGTACCTCTCCAGGATTGTGAATGACAAGCGATTCACCAATTACCTTGTATTTGGCTTTCACCAATTTCTTCCTCGATCGAGCTTTTCCTTCATTTTTGTAAGAAAAATAATCTGGCTTTAATAGTGTAATCACTGTCAATTTAATTTTACAAAGCCATTGAAATTTGAGTTGATATAGTATTTATAATATCTCCAGGACTTATCTCTTCATGAGAAGCACCTATTAAAGAAAAATAATCACCCAAATGCACAATCTTGACCATTAATAATATAGTCAAATTCCAATTTCCCTCCAAAACATGCTTCAAAATATTCAAACTATATAAGACAAAGAAGTGTTTTTCTACCTTTCTTTATTTTTCCAATGAGGGACAAAACAACCTCTTTGATAGGTTTTTGTATATCACTCTTCTCAAATACGTTCATCAAACACTAATTAATCTACCAATTTTCCCTTCTGTGGTTTCTCTGAAGGAAAACACCTTTTACTCCATTTTGAAACCCTGACACAGTTCCTTTGAGTTGTTCATTCATGATAGTCCTTTGTAGTTGTGCTCAGTATAAATCTCTCTCCGAAGAATTGATATTTTCAGCCATGAAACGAATCATGACTTCCTCAAATTTTTCCACCTCTTGCAGATTCTGGGAAAAGGTTCAGCATTTCCAGCAAACTTGCTATAGGTAAAGTATCCCAGTGCATTCCCTTAAATTTGCTCTTCTGCATTTGCACTTGACACACTTAACTTATTACCGTTAACTATTTGCAGGTGGCTCAGTTAGTATCACAGGGATGATCCTACTATCAGTTTCAGCGATCTATTACCTCAGAAGTCGACGCACGAATTGTAAGCCACTGATTTGCTGGAAGACCGAATCAGAAGATAACAAAATTGAAGAATTCATGAGAAGCTACGGATCTCATGCTCCGAAGCTGTACAACTATTTGGATCTAAAGAAAATAACACACACATTCAGCCACAAAATAGGACAGGGAGGTTTTGGTCAAGTATACAAAGGAAAGCTACCCGATGGTCGCAAGGTAGCTGTAAAGGTGCTGACAGAAACTAATGGTGATGGAGAAGAATACATAAATGAAGTTGCCAGTATAAGTAGAACTTCCCATGTTAACATAGTTGGGCTTTTGGGATTTTGTTACCAAAGGAATAAGAGAGCCTTAATTTATGAATATGTGTCCAATGGTTCATTGGACAAATTCCTCAACAATGGACCATCTGGCACAACTTGTCCCTTGGAATGGACAACATTGTACAGAATTGCAGTTGGCATTGCTCGAGGTTTGGAATATTTACATCGAGGTTGTAACACAAGAATAGTGCACTTTGATATAAAACCTCATAACATTCTTTTGGACCAGGATTTCTGCCCTAAAATATCTGATTTTGGCCTTTCTAAATTGTGTGAGAGAAAGGAGAGTATCCTATCAATGTTGGGTGCCAGAGGAACTGCTGGTTATATTGCTCCAGAAGTGTTCTCTAGAACGTTTGGAAATGTCTCTCACAAATCAGATGTCTATAGCTACGGAATGCTGGTTCTTGAGATGGTTGGAGTGAGAAACAATGTTAAAGTGAGCCAAACTAGTGAAGTATACTTTCCAGATTGGATCTATGAACATCTCGATCTGGGGAAGGACCTAGGTCTACAAGGTATCATGAACGAAGCAGATGAAGAAATGGCAAGGAAGATGATGTTAGTTGGCTTGTGGTGCATTCAGATTAAGCCGTCAGATCGACCAGCAATTGAGAAGGCAGCAGAAATGCTGGAGGGAAACCTTCACTCCCTACAAATTCCACCAAAACCTTTCTTGTTTTCTTCAACAAAATCCATCCCAGAGTCGTTTGCCTCCACATCAACATCCACAACAGCCTATGGAAAGGAGGCTTCAGTTCTGGAGTCAAATATCTCTTCTGAGTAAAAAAGCTTGATGCAAGCTTGTTATATTTTACTCTACTCAAATTCAAGTAATTGAGAAAGGAAGCGGGATATCTGGTTCCCTGAATCAGAAAACTAGCTTCAATGCATTAATAAAGTTATTGCCAACTTTCACCAAACAAAGAGGACATAAACTTCACTTTAGTTAATCTAGTGTCATACAATGCATGTGAAAAGGTAATGATGCCTAAGGTTGGTATCCAAATTATATGTACCATCGAGCAGCCACAACCTGACCACACATTTCCCACTAAATTACACTAACACCTATATCGTTGTCTTGTGGAAAATGAAGGGTAAATCCATAGGTGCACTACGCCCTGGATTGATAATCACCAAAATAACAATGAATCCTCCCAGTAACACTCATCTCATCCTGCATCGCAGCCACCTTTTGTTGCAGTGTGGACTTGCCACTTAATGAATAAGCTGAGTAACTAATTTTAAAAGTCAATGTGTGGTACGAACAGGACCTTACAATCCAATCTGCCATTCAGTAGAAAAATATGAGACATGTCTGCAGTAGTTGAAACATGGAATTGGCACACTATCATCAGTTGCTGTGATAGGCGGCAGAGTGTCCTTAAAGAAACAGCAAATCAATTAATTTTACTGAATCCATGCTGTATGGAACAAATCTCTATCGTACATTCATCTTTCTCCCTCCTCCAAATGCTGTTTTATTGCTTTCGAGTATAGCGGTCGGCCTACCTAATACTTCAATAGATATTTTCCTGTAATACAGGTCATGGGAGTTGAGGTCTGAGTTCTGGAAGTAAAGCAAAACAATCTTAAATCTTACCAGATCATGCAACAATTAGCAAAAAAGATTGACCATGCTGTAATGTTAGCAATGTTACTCTGTCAATCCAATGCTCTTCTGCAAGTCCACCATCAACCTGCCACACAAGACACGGATAAGTGAACTACACATTGGTTGAGAATTCCAATGAATTTGATCGTCCCAGTTATGCAAATATGAAAAACCGTTCAGAACAACAAAATCCAAATTGAAGCACCGATGAGAGTAACAGGAAAAGACAGCAAGAGAAATGATGGATATATTTATTAAATCCTAACCTGGAAAAGGGTAAAGGAGTAGAAAGTAATGAATTCTTGAATCTCTGGAGATTCTTTCGACACCCTGTAACATTGCAGGCCAAAATGGTCCTACAGTGGTATTTTACAGAAATCTCACACTGCGAGCATCAAAACTTCCTAAGCCATTCCTGTGGAAGGATATATCAACTCTCCCCTTTGTTAAGAAGGTGCAGTACTTGGCATCTTATCATTTACTTGCATTATTTAACGCATGATGCGAGGATATGTAGTGTATCTGCTTTAAAACTTGGATCTTCTGTCATTTTTGGGATTCTAAAGCCACTTATGGTATTGACCTCAGACTCCGAGTGAAAAAAAGTTGGAGGCTTAACTGCTAAACCTCAAAAATCATACCTTAACCTCATCAAAGGCATAAAATTTAGTAGACCAACACCTCTTCAAGTCTGGATTGGATTTTGCATTCTCACTGTCTCCTATTCCAACCTAGTTCACAGAACTGAAAAGTTGCTAAAACACAATAACTCAGTGGTGCTTTTTTTTGCTGTTTAGCCCACGAAATTTTATGTGACTAATTACAATCTGCTACCTCATTTTGAAGTTCAAACCTCTATATTTCAGACAGGATTTTCCAATCCAAAATTAATCTGAAACAATATGAGGCAGCTTCACCTCTTCTTTAACCAAACAAAGGAAAGAAAAAAAACAATCGGATGCAACTATATATTGCAAGGTTTAGCCAGAATGAATTGGGTGGAAGGAACAAAGATGCATGACTAAATCATTTTCTTTCAAGGAAGTTTGGTATTGATTTGAAATGTCAACAAGTCAATAAATTTGAGTGCTGCAAACCGTCTAGAATTGAAGTAAAAACAACAGCTAAAATTTCTGGATAACTGACAGCAAATCTTTATAGGTAACTGAGAATAAAATACCTGAAACTCTGCTGTCTCATCAAGGAGAATCACGTAGTTGAATGCTTCCACAAGTTGCACAGTTATCCCAAAAGTGAAATCCCAAGACGCATCTCAAAATTTAACAAGTTTAAGGTCATTAATCAAGGGCTCAAAGCAATAGTCCTTATTTCCCCATAATACTCAGCTAGCCAATGGGTGAACTCTCTTCGTGCTGATGCATGTAGACCATGTCAAGATAAAGACCAAGATCAAGAGTAGTTATGCACCACTAGCTTTTAGATCTTCCCCCATTTGACCAATCTTTACTGTATATTCTACCTGTAAAAGACAATTATCCATCAAATTTCAGCTAAGAGAACTGAATAGGATTCACTTGAGATACCATTTCAAAGCCAAAGCTAATAGTCGTGAGGTAAGTTAAGACATGAAAGGCAAAGCCCATCAGTTGGTATGTAGACAAAGAGGAACTTTAACAGTGAGACAGAAATTACCAACTTGCACTTAAGATCAGAGATTGCCTGCTCAGTTTGATTTGCATAAAACTTCAATGACTGACAAAGAACAAAATAAATCTTAGATCCAGGAATTATAAGAACTGAGGACCAAATAAACTAGCCATAAGACACAGAAGACTCACTCCAAGTCTCTGCATTTCAAGGGACCGACTTAAAGCTAGTCTTTTGTTTAAAAGATTTTGCGGCACCAATTCCGGGCGTCTGTAGTTCTTTCCCCGATAAATTATTATAGCATGGCCTTCTTTAAGTTTGTCTACAGAAACCAGTATTCCACCACTTTCTGCCTCCAGGAGATTTGCAGTATGAATGACGTGAGAAAAGATTTTCTGCATTGTGATCACCTTAACAACTTCTCTGTGCTTCCAATGCTGATGGAGACCCGCTAATACACCATCAAAAACACCGCGTCTCCCTGAAGTCAAATTGAAAAAGTAGATTTGAGCTGACCAAGTGATCAAGACAGTTTTATCATAGGACCAGAATTGCAACAATTCTCAATAATTAAAGATCCTAAAACTTTGAGCGATTAGAAATTATCAGATAAAGGCGTTATTGTCGAGTATTGGAATGAAATGGACCCAAATAAAAAAGAATGGATATGGAGGATCCATTTAGTAGGCCCAACTAGTTTGGGGGTTGAGGCCTTCTTGTCGAGCCCATGAATGATAATGCATTTTTTTATGCAAGCCCAACTAGGGAATATGACAAATAATAGCTAACTCTTTTTTTATGGAACTATCTAAGATGCGTAACCATATCAGAAATTTCAGAATCCTGGTAGATAATGGACAATTTATCTGTAGATGACTATGGAATTTTCAATAGCAACTCAGCTATAGCTTTCATAGTTTGACCACGAAATGATAAGAGAGGATAATATAGCAAAAGTCTGCTCACCAAGCACTAAACTCCTGTCCATCTTCAATCCTATCTGCCTAAGAGATCGTCTCTCTTCTTGTGTTAAGATTTCTTTATCGACATCTGGTTTGGCAGGTCTCCATGCAGCATCCAACTTTCCCAATGCTATAGATGATTTTTCAATCTTCTTCTTGAGCTGCACGATTGAGTAAGAAAGCATATTTCATTTGCTGCTGAAAACATTGAAAGTGGAAAAAAGAATAGCTGATATCTTACAATGTAAAGGCTGTGCTGTTCATCTCTCAGTTCTTTTTCTAATCTTTCTTTTTCTGCTACTAATTGAACTTCAGTCTCAGATTTCTCCCTTCCAGGTTCTGCAATTGTCTGGAATTCTGATAAAGTCCCAACATTACTAATGCTCATTGATTCTCCAGTAGTGATTGGAAGGGTTTCAATTGCTTTGAATCGTGCAGCTTCTTCCTCAAGCAGACATATTCTGAGTTCCACTTCCCTCTCAGCTACAAGGCTTGCAACTTGAGAAGGAAGAAAATCCTTACCTCTGTATAGGATTATAAAGAACTTATTCCGCAATAAAAGAACTCCTCCAGTAAGATACTACATAAAAAATTTGAGCATTTTATCAGAATCTGAAAGACAAAGCCGGTGATCAGTGATCTATACCCAATGTGCCCAACACTTTCTTTCTTTTAGCTTCTACCACTGCTTAGAAGAAAGCCGCTATGGCACTGGAGATTTTGTAGCTAGAAAAAGAGGCGAGAATAGAGGAAAAGATAGTCAACAATGCATAGACTAAAAAAAAATTCAGTCAATTCAGTAATAATGGAGCACTTTCAAGTAACAACTTCCAGGAAAGAGGTCTGCATTGGAATCAATTCTTTTAATTGATTAAAATAGTCAGGCTCCTCAAAGATTTTCCAAGAGTTTTAAGTTATACCAATGATGACATCATATCAGTCCAGAGAAACCAAAACCCAACACCAGAAACCACCAGCCAAAAATTCAAGTGTTGCTTTCATCACTACCAACTTCCAACACCAACCTCTGTAGCCTGAACCACAGTTCCACTGAATACTACCTAGACCACGTTCGCTTTAAGTGTTTTCAACACCAAAAAATTGTTTACAATGCCACACTCCAAACACTCTTAATCACAATGAAAGTGTTTTTGCTGAAACATTCACCACCAAGCTTCTTAAGCTCAACTCTAGGACCAGTGCCCTGACATATTCACCAACAAAGCTTCAAAACCATCTATTACCTAGCTGCTTAAGTCCTCCTCTGTATTTTGCAATTTTGATAGCTAAGTCAATCCTAAAAATGAGAATCGTTCAGACAACATCTGAAAATAGCTTTCTAAAATACTAGTAGAAAGTTCGAGGTGTGTTTTAATAGTTGTAGTATTTTTAAAAGACTTTTGTTGAAGTGAGTGTTTTGTAAGTAGAAAATTTGTTTCTCGAACAAGTTCTTTGAAATATACTCTCAAACCACAATTTCAAAAATTTATGCTTGGAAAATTCATATTTTTCTTCTTTGTAAAACTTAACAAACACGAATTTGAAATAAAATAATTGCATGTTCATAAAAAATTTCACTGACAAGCACCACCTAAATTTTAATCCATTAAATATATACTAGC